GTAGTGCTTGTACACACCCAACTAAAGTTTAGCGAAACAAAGATTCTAGATATCCAGGAGACCTTTCGATCGTCTTATGCAGACAAATAATGCAACGGCACTAACTGACACTCGTAACGACCTGCTTCTTCCAACATCAACATGTACCTTTCCATGGTATATTGTGATATTGTCTACATAGACCTGTACGAAGACCTGGTCCCAGCAGAGACCGGGTGTAAATGAGGTGACGGGGGACGTAAAATTCAGAGTCTAGTGCCGACTTGCAGGGGCAATTTAACCACTGCAATTTCCTTTGATGAAAATTCTAATGCGTGTGGGCGAGTTTTAAATTGAAACAAATAAGAGTACAATGTACTGCAGGAACTAACCGGCCTCTTGTCACAAGTGCAACAAATGGGTCGCCGTTTAAAGTTACTTAGAACAATGCTACTTACACTATGCTGGGCTCTCGAGGGAGGTTGGGCTGAAAAAAAAATCCCTGTCATGAACGTTTACCAAACTACTAAATTTCGTGCATAAGTTTATGTATAATTTTATTTAAAAGAATCAAGTAAATCTATTTTGACACCTATAATAATTAGTATTCAATTCATTATTTGCTAATCACTTACTCCCTCCGTCTCATTTTAAGTGCAATCATGAGTTTCCGTGTCCAACTTTGATAGTCCGTTTTATTTGAATTTTTTTATAATTAATATTTTTGTAGTTATGAGATGATAAAACATGAATAATACTTTATTCGTGACTTATGTTTTTAATTTTTTTTTAAAAAAAATTAAATAAGATGGACGATCTAATTTAAACGTGGAAAATCATAACTGCACTTAAAATGGGACGGATGGAGTATTTGATTTTACGTGCCACTAAAATTCAAGTCAAACTGTCTCCAGAACTAAACCTAAGTTTTGGATGTGATAGCTTTGTGGGATTGAAATCTTTAGTCTTTTGATTAGAGTAAATGTCATAATTGTGGCCCTTGCTGCCTCTCTATCTTTTAAACTTTTTTAGTTTGCAAGATGCATGAGAAAATCATGCTTCGGACAATGAGTTTTCCTCTAACTTAGTGGAAATAAGGATTTCGGCACACCGGGTGACATGAAAGTATTATTGGTATGCTATATCAATATAAAACAACACACTATTGTTGTTCGTTAAAAAAATATTGTCGATATCAACAACTACTCAACACGTCAAATATTGTGAGAGTTACTGACAAATATCGGTTTAGTGTCAACAGATATTAGATCTTTAGATCTTATACCCATAAGTATGCATCGTCTCATTTTAACCAGTAGATTTGCTCCGGTCCAATAAAAGGTATCTCGAAGTATCATACCTCATGGTACCAAAAAAATTATTTTCAATTGTTGAATCTAACCATGCTTATCCTGTCTAGCTAATCCAACGATCGGAAACGATTTGGTACCGTGAGGTACCGGTACCTTAAAATAATTTTGCTGGACCAGAACAAATCTCTTCAAACAGACACATAGTTCCTCAATCGTTTCCTTGCCGAATGCCGAGTAGTACCGACGTATTCATTCAAGCATGCGCTCGCTGTTGGAAGACACGTACGGCGATCTCAAATACTAGTATTTCCTGACCAGCACGACGATCTCAAATACTAGTATTCCACCGGCCAGCTAGCGTCGGGTGGCCGCTGCGCGCCCGCCTGCCGGCCACGTCGCGGGCGCCGACTCGTCCACCAGCATCACCAGCCTTATCGATCAGTGCCGTCCCCGGGCCCCCTCCGCCGCCGGAGTGACATTGTCGCTGCCACGCCTGCCGGCTCGTGTTTGATTGATCGGGCTATTTTATTGCTCGCCCAGCTGGACACGCGCGACATCGCACGCAAAACGCCTGGCCTATTGCACGCGCACACTGCTACGCTTCGACTCCATCATATCCCGTCGGTGGACGATCGATCTGCGTGTTACCCAAGTTAGCAGCGAGCAAATCGTCCGTGCTGATCGAAACGTGCCAAAACGGGGAAGGCTAACTGTACTACGCAGTCGCATGTGGGCGCGCGGGGCGGCTCGACCGCGCGCGGAGCGGCGCCGCACGGCACGGAACGGAAGAGATCGATCGGTCAAGGAGCGGTAGAGCTGCGACCGGGCGCGCGGATATGCACATATGAACATCCGCGCAATCATTGAAGACACGTATGTCCTGCGGCCGCCGTAACGTGGCCCGCGCGTCGATCCGGCGCCACAACGACGCCTCCGCGAGCTCCGGCCCCCGATATTTCCTTTAGCTAGAGCCCGCTTTGCTGGGTGCCGTGGGCTAGCTCACTGCGACCACAGACGCGCGCGCCTCCCGGCCCGGGACCGCTTCCGCGCTACGTCTACTACGACGACGTACTATCGTGCATCCCCTATCAGATCAGATGCGTGGTTCCACCTCTCGTCGACCAGGACAAACACCGAAGCGCGCCGCATCGTCTCATCAGGAGGTGATCGAAACGCGCACAGGTGTCCCGCGACCGCACGAAGCGGCCAGGAGCCATTGATGATCCCACGGCGGTTGTCGTGGAGTAAGGACGGCGCCGAGACGACCGGTCGCGCGCGCGCCGCGGCGGTTGATTGGCTCTGGGCGGCTATGATGAGGCTATTTGACTATCAACGGCTCTCGTCCGCGCCCTGCACACCGCAGGCAAGAGCCCGGACAAAGCACGCATTTTGGCGCCCTTGAGGCCTTGACTCCAAAGTTAGATCGCAACGTAGCCGCCCCGCGCTCGCATGTGATTCGTGACCGCCGCGCCCGCGCGCGCGCCGCGGTGGGGTGCTACGTGCAAATTCCCTGCCCGCGTGCCCTGGACGGCGCCGTGCCAGCACCGTGCGGCTCTCTCGCACGTAGTTCCGCCCATCAACCTGCAAACCTTGCAGGCTTTCTAGCGGCATCCGCCGCCGTGCATATCCTGAGACGAAATGGCACTGCATGTATGTGCAACTAGGATACCACCACGGACAGTTTGGTCCCCCAAGAATCTATCCGAATCGCACACTCATGCTGTGCTTCAGCCACTTCCCGATCCAAATTGGGCTCCTGCCCCCGTGGGACCTGACCACCGGGTCTCATATTCCTCATAGATAAACTTGTTTAGATACAAAGATGGACTGGTAGCTACCACACTACAGGACGGAACAGAATGCATAATTCACAAAGGGTAGCCCCCCATGCATGTACGTAATTGTCCTTTGCCTGCGAGAAAATATCCTGTCAAATCGCACTATAACATTTTAATATTGTGCATTGCATATTCGTTTCACAGAATGCTACTACTACTGATCAAAGGCCAAGTTTCATTTGTTCTCTTACGTGAAGCATGAGTTTGTACACACATACATGTAGCCTGTTGGTAGCTTGGGCCGGTACACTGATAATGCCGTCATAATTGAACGAGAACAAGCGATCAATATCCTCCCCTGCCGGCAGCATGGCGCGTTGCAAACGTCTAGAAGGCAATGGCCTCATCTGCGATGACCGATGAAGAAATAGGTTGAGTATACGTTTATAACGCAGCTCATTCGAAAGTTGTGTGAGATTCAGATTCAGCATCACAACTGTTAGACTATATTACGAAATGCCTGCCACTCCTTTTACATTATATTGTATACTAATATAGAGCCTCTTTTACATTTGCTCATAGCGATGAGGATACGTTGGATTAAGAATGAACGCAAATGATGGTTCCGTGCCACTTGTCCTTTTGCTTGCATGGAGTCAGGAAGAGATTAGGAACAACCGAACAAGAGGGTATTTTCAATGGTCCACGTGTCCAGAAACCATGGCAGATATTTTGTTACTAATAGTTTCCACAGTAGACTACTACTACACCTCCTCAGCGTCCTTCCCTAATACACATATACTAGTAGTATTCAGTTTCGAGTTGAAAGATTTTTTGACGGGATGAGTTGAACGACTGAATTTGGATTTGATGAATAAGAGATGAATTGAAGCACACCCTCACAGCTGTCCCATCACATGCAAAGGTCAACCTGTAGATCTGAATGCACATGCCTTTGAATTTCTGATTAAGATGTTAACCTACTACTAGAACTGCTACCATCCGATCTTTTTTTGCCCGAATCAAAAAAGAGAGAAAAGAGAAAAAAATATGCTTTTATTTTTCTCAGAAGAAAAAAAGAGGGGTAGAGCTGCATGCGCACGACCATTTCGCGACGGACTAACGGTTTGTTCAACACCTGTCATTCCCATCATGAGCAGGTTAAGCATTTCGGCACGCATTCCTACTTTGCAACCTGCTTTAGCTAGCCGCGGTCAGTGATACCGGCAAAAATTCCCAAGTGATGTTTACTTCGAAAAAATAGATTATTCACGCATCAATAAATCATAAAATGAGTATCTTACGATGGACTCAGGAACAATCGGTAGATGTGTTTACCGACAAAAAGAAAAAAAAAACACCGCCGCACCGGACACCAAGTAATTAAGCAGAACAGTGTTCAGGCCAGTATGATGGCTGGTTGGGGATGATCAGAGGAAGCGGCCAAAGGAGAGCAGCATTATAGGAGCAGGAGCAGGAGCAGGAGCAGCAGCAGCTGCTGCCGGGGCAGTACGTAGTACGTACGAGAGCGCGTACAGTAGCTGATGGTGTGGAAACAGGGCGGAAAGGGAGAGGTGAGCTGGAGAAAGGGATGATTCTCTCGCGCGCTGGCCAGAAGAGAAGAGAGGCCCATTTAGCTATCACTGTATTGGTTAACCGGTTTAACCGATCAGTTGATTAATCCGGCTCTCTCGCCCGCACGCCTTTTTCCCTTTATTTCCGTATTGATTGCGCAATTATTCGGCAGCGTCTATCTGTCTCTCTCGCGCGCGGAGGCACCCAGCTCGGCTATTCTAGCGCGTAGTGGTGGTGCTAGCTACTAGTAGTAGTAGATTTTTGGGCAGCAAGCGGCCGCAGAAAAGGAGAGCGAAACGGAGGAGAAACCGGGAAACTCAGCTCGCGGCCAATCTATAAATAGCTGCCACCCCTCTCGCCTTTCCCTCCACACCCCCCCCAACAACACCACCGCCCATTTCCCTTTCTCTTCCTCTTCTTCTTCCTTCTCCTCCTACTCCTCTGCGATTGACAAAGATAAGTGAAGTGAGCAGGCGCCAATGGGTGCTTTTCTTCTGTTCGTGTGCGTGCTCGCGCCTTTCTTGCTTGTCTGCGCCGTCCGCGGCCGCCGCCGGCAGGCGGGCTCGTCGGAAGCGGCGGCGTGCGGCCTGCCGCTGCCGCCGGGGTCGATGGGGTGGCCGTACGTCGGGGAGACGTTCCAGCTGTACTCGTCCAAGAACCCCAACGTGTTCTTCAACAAGAAGCGGAACAAGTACGGTCCCATCTTCAAGACGCACATCCTGGGATGCCCCTGCGTGATGGTGTCCAGCCCGGAGGCGGCGCGGTTCGTGCTGGTGACGCAGGCGCACCTCTTCAAGCCCACCTTCCCGGCGAGCAAGGAGCGGATGCTGGGTCCCCAGGCCATCTTCTTCCAGCAGGGCGACTACCACGCCCACCTCCGCCGCATCGTCTCCCGCGCCTTCTCCCCCGAGTCCATCCGCGCCTCCGTCCCGGCCATCGAGGCCATCGCGCTCCGCTCCCTCCACTCCTGGGACGGCCAGTTCGTCAACACCTTCCAAGAGATGAAGACTGTGAGTTCTTACTGCCTAACTCCTCTTCCCACTCTGCTTTGCTCTGCTCTACTCTGCTTTGCTGATCGATCCGATGTGTTTGTTGTTGATGGCATATACAACAGTACGCGCTGAATGTGGCATTGCTGTCCATCTTCGGGGAGGAGGAGATGCGCTACATCGAGGAGCTGAAGCAGTGCTACCTGACGCTGGAGAAGGGGTACAACTCGATGCCGGTGAACCTGCCGGGCACCCTGTTCCACAAGGCCATGAAGGCCCGGAAGAGGCTGGGCGCCATTGTGGCCCACATCATCTCTGCCCGGCGCGAGCGGCAGCGGGGGAACGACCTGCTAGGGTCGTTCGTGGACGGCCGCGAGGCCCTCACCGACGCCCAGATCGCCGACAACGTCATCGGCGTCATCTTCGCCGCCCGCGACACCACCGCCAGCGTCCTCACCTGGATGGTCAAGTTCCTCGGCGACCACCCCGCCGTCCTCAAGGCCGTCACCGTAAGTTCGCCTCCTCATATCTCATAGTATATCAAAGTCCTTGATGGTGAGGCTGACCGCGGGTGCCATGGATGGAACAGGAAGAGCAGCTGCAGATTGCCAAGGAGAAAGAGGCGTCGGGCGAGCCGCTGTCATGGGCGGACACGCGGCGGATGAAGATGACGAGCCGGGTCATCCAGGAGACGATGAGGGTGGCGTCCATCCTCTCCTTCACCTTCAGGGAGGCCGTGGAGGACGTGGAATACCAAGGTGAGCAGCAGAGCAGAGCTGTCCGGTGGCAGCCTGTCCGTCCCTTTCGAGACAGCCTCGCGCTTCTCTTCCGCTGCGAGTGAACTGGACCGAATGGGGCAGACTGGTTCCTTAACTGAAATAGACTAACTCGATCAGTCGTCCCAGAATCTAACCTCGTTCGATCGTCTGCTCTGTGCAGGGTACCTGATCCCCAAGGGCTGGAAAGTGCTACCTCTGTTCCGCAACATCCACCACAACCCCGACCACTTCCCCTGCCCGGAAAAGTTCGACCCGTCCCGGTTCGAGGTCAGCATCACGAACCCACTCTTCCGTGTTTTTGTTCCCTTCCCTCCCTTTCCTTTCCCGGTGCGGCCGACTTCCTAGCCAAGTCGGTCCGCGGTTTGCGAGCAGTGGCCGGTATGGGTTTTCCTGACCCCGCGTCCGTCCCGTCACTGTTGCAGGTGGCGCCCAAGCCCAACACGTTCATGCCGTTCGGGAACGGGACCCACTCGTGCCCGGGCAACGAGCTCGCCAAGCTGGAGATGCTCGTGCTCTTCCACCACCTCGCAACCAAGTACAGGTGGTCCACGTCCAAGTCCGAGAGCGGCGTCCAGTTCGGCCCCTTCGCGCTGCCGCTCAACGGCCTCCCCATGAGCTTCACCCGCAAGAACACCGAGCAGGAGTGAAAACCGAACAGGGAGACAAAAAGAAGAAGAAGAATACTAGCATCAGCTAAGCTGGGGAAAGCTGGCAAAACCAACATCAACGGCGGGCAGCGGCGCCACGCAGCGCGCGCGAGTCCATTTTCGCGGCGGTCACCGTCCGGGGGGACACCTGTTGGCGCCGCAGTGGGAGCGGGAGACCGAACGGTGGATTCCGTATTAGCACGGATCATCAGAGTCCTTGTACAGATTCTTCAGCTAGGACCACGGTTGGCAATCGAGAGGAGGAGCAGAGGAGTTGATGAAAAAAACCAAACACTACGTAGACATCTGAGCTAGGGAGCGCCACAAAGAAGTGGCCCTTAATTGTAAAACCAACCATTTTTTATCCTTTTTTGCTTAGTTTTTTTTTTGGCCAACAACTATAGGAGAAGAGTAGAGAAGAGAAGAGAAATTGGGGAGAAAATACAGGGAGGATGAAGAGGCCCTGATTGGGATGTAAGCTAGGTTGCCCGCCTGAAAGCAGGCTGGCATGCAGATGCAGCTATAGGTCGAATAATCGAGGCGAGCGATGATGGACGGATGGATCGATTCATCGATCGCCAGAGTCAAAAGGGAAGAACGTCGTGATCCCCCGCGGGCTAAGCCAGGCCACGGGAGAGCGACTCCTCTGTACCGTTTCGTCCAACTCAAGAGAAAATGACCTTCTTGAGAAAAGTATTGAATTGTCCCTATACACGCGCACACAGGAATTGCTACCCAGCACCCTATATTGCAGTTGAGCAAGCGATTTTTTCGATCACTTCTTGTGTGTAAGCATGCATGCATGCTTCCAATAAACTAATTCTAATCTGCAGCGTGATCCATAAAAATATCGGTTGGACTTTGGGATAGGATACTACCCGAGTCAAACTGATGGAATGATGCATATTGTGGATGATGAGTTCTTTTAAAACTAAACTAAAACTATCTGTTGCCTCTCTAGCACTGGAAGGGCTAGCTCTTTGTACCACGTCTGTGATCCATCTCCAATCTTAAGGTTCTAGAAGCTAACTTTGGATGCCAATGGCATGTTCTTGATTCTTTTTATAAAAAAAATGAATATGGAATTAGGAGATGATTGAAATCAAATTGTTACTCTTGGTCTAAATGTTGGCTCCAAAACAACCCAAATGCACTATGATGGTTTAACCCTTCAAAATATTTCATTTTGTTAAAAACAACCATAATGGCCAACAACTACTAAGATTGTAGCGGGTAATGTTGCTCCCATTGGGCACGGTGGCATTGGTCAAGCGTCGATGAATTAGGCCAAGGTCGCGTGGAACAACACCCTAGGGAATTGAAACAACAAATATAATGTTGGCATCACATAGAATTCAAATAAAATGTGGTTAATGGAGTTATGAAATTCTTCCATCGTGTATTCGTGTTGCTATACAATCATATACGCATGGGAGATTGGATGAGAACAGGATAAGTATTTTTCACCTCGGACGAACACATGCAATTTGGTTCCCTTGATAGAAGTTCCAGTTGATTTATAGAGGTATCAAAAATGGTTTACACTTAAACTCACCTACTTATCCGTTTACCATGTTAGCTGCCAAGGGGTGAAATCAAGTTTGGTACGTCAGCTCATCGTATTTCCGTATCTTAGCCCATATTTTCTTTCGGAGTTAGAAAGTATGGATAGAGTCAATAATCTATCACTCAGTAACTCGTATCCTATTTCATATTTGTTGTTTAGATAATAGTACCACATATCTATTTTTCTCTCTAATATCATCCCCACGTTTCAGGTCGGGTGAGTGGATGGGTATGTGGAAAATACTTATCCTGTTTTCATCCAATCTCCCATGCTTATATGAACTAACTTAATCAAGTTGAAACTGAGCTTTTCTAGTGAAACAACGATGAAGTTTGGATGATACCATAATTCTATCCCTATCGATTGGATTAGACTCCCCTAACTTTGTGCAGTTTACAGTTGTGACACTGATATGACAATGTGAGAGGATCTGTTTCCCTATCGATTCGCCCACCGAATCTCAAATTAAACATGGTGTTGACAATTTTCTTGGGATGAACTTTGGAAGCGCCGTAGTACGTACAGCGGTACAGGGTTGGTGACCGAGTCGAGTGATTGACTTTTGGAGATGGAAACAAGCATACTTAAAAAAAAACAGAGAGACGCTTAAAAAAACAGAGGTGCAAAGAGCCAAAGAGAGATGCAGAGGAACAGAGCGAAAGCGAAGTTTCCAGGAAAGCGGAGGCCGAAGTCTCCTCTCCCTCTAATGGCGAGACAGATGGAACCCTATCCTCTGTGCCAATTATTCAGCCAGCCGGGCAGGCAGGCAAGCGGTCACGAGCCCGGCATTATTCAGTTGCCCATCGATGGAATTCATGGATGGACACCGATGTGGTATTGGTGAGTGAACTGAGCCCAATCAGTGACAGGCAGGAGGCAGCTGCGTGCGATAGCGCGCGCCCGGCCGGGTCGGCTTGCAATTTGGCCTTTGCCTGCCCATTTTTTTAGTCACTGCGTGCGCGCGCGCGTCCACCGATGATCCATCTGGAAATGTGCCTTTTACTACAAGTATGTTTCGGACTTTCAGTGTTCGTGTGCGCGTCATGCATGCAGGGGGGGAGGAGACGCTGCTGCTGATTGGCCGCTAGATTCTCTGCTCTTCTGCTACTGGCTAATATAATCTCTTCCTTTCCTAGCCATTCCCGGGCTGACACGTCAGCACTGGTCAGCCAGGAGAGGCTTGACGAGCTCCCCGTTTTGCCTAATCCCATGTGCTAGTGCCGTACTAGAGACTAGAGTTACGGGTTGTCAACCGTGTGCATGCACTTGCAATATAGTATCACCCATGGTTGATGGTTGCATGTGCTGAAAGGTAAGAGCTTAGTGTTAATGCAGTACTTCTGGTATAATACTGTGAAAAAAATGGGTGTACACACCGGAGAAAACGAGTGGGAGGAAGAATGTGACAAGAAAGTGAAAATTGCAGCGAACGTATTGGTTAAATGGAGGACAAATGGCTACACCGGGTGTTTTTAGGAACACGCTATTTAGTTATGTTGTTGTCGCATGAGAGTTACATATAGTAATTTTATAGATGGCAGCGCATGAGTAGTTGCTAACCATGTTTCTTACGTGGCGTGAAGTTTGTGTCATAGGATGGAAGTGAACCTTTCCACTTCCACACATCTTGCATTAATTATTGATCCTACCATATGGTTCGTTCCTTTTTATTAAGTGACATAGAGGCAGCCTCTTTGAGATGTACTTTGCGGAAGGTAAATTATGTATATAATGTTATTCACATTCACAGTAGAAAAGTGCACACCAACAAAAGGAAAAGAAAAGTTAATGCCCGAAGGTAATGTAAAGAGACAATCCATTATATGCCACTGAGTTTGTCATAGCTCTACGATTTGCCACTGACTTTGTCACGTTCTATAATATACCATCGACTTTTACTTAACTTCTATGATTTACCATCGCCGTCCAGTTAGTCTCCGTTAGTACTGTACAATTTTGTCCAAATGACCAAAATACCCCTGGGATAAAACTTCCAAAATGTGGACAAAAATTCTGAAATACCATATTATAAACATAAGATTGTAAACATTCAAAATTTGTCCAAAAACTTAAAGTCTGACATTTCAGATTTTTTATCCAAAATTTGAAAGTTTTTGTCTCAGGGGTATTTTGGTCATTTGGATGAAAGTGTACAGTACTAACGGAGACTAACCGGATGGCGGTGGTAAATCGTAGAAGTTAAGCAAAAATCGATGGCATATTATAGAACGTGATAAAGTCAGTGGCAAATTGTAGACCTATGACAAACTCAGTGGCATACAATGGATTATCTCTAATGTAAATGAAGAAGAAGCGATTACAGCGCCTATCTTAGGCGTGCTACTCCACTAGCTAGCTAATGAATAAAAATGTAGAGGCAGTATTCTCTCTCTGGTTTGGTTTTAGTTGATATACATATACTCATCCATTGTAGTACCTCTCTCTGTTTGGGCACGGTTTGGCCATTGATTTTTCACATAATAAACAGGGTACAAAGACAATAAGGTGGCAAAATACTTTATAGTACGAATGTAGCAGCATATTTTTTTATACACTAAACAAAGTTGTAACTTAACTAATTGTTGATGAAATTCTATGTGGTTTGATTTATTTTGTTTTTAAAAAGCATGCATGCCATACATAAGAGTACTGCCTCCATGCATAGATATTTATATGCAACATTTTATTTGGAAAAAGTCTTCAACATCACACTTTAACCATTGGTTTTTGATAGAAAATATTAGTAACATTTATAAAAAATACTTTGAAATATGAATCTATTTCACTAAAAGTATTTGTAGTTTGACTAATCGTTGACAAGATCCATAAAGTTTGACCTTTTCTCTAAACGAAATGTATCTTAAAAAAGTTTACAGCGGGAGCACCTGAAATTTTTACATTTTGGTCCTTTTTGAAAACTTATTTTACAAATAAACCCCTGGGAAAACTTAAACCGGAAATGGTCCTTTTTGGGGCGCCAGAGTGGCTGGCGCCGTACCCCAACATGGTGGTGCCACCCACACTGGCGCCGTGCCCGTGCCACCGTGGCACTAGGGCTGTCGTGGAGGTGCTGACTGGTCAGAATATGGGCGCCAGCCACACTGGCGCCACCCCTCATACCACGGCGCCAACATGGCTGGCGCGCCCCTTCTCTGTGGGCCGACCCCTTAAACCCTGTGGGTCCCACCACCTTTCTCCTCCCCACTCCCATTTTCGCCCAAGCACCAGCCCGAGCTGAGCAGCAGCAGCTCTCCCCCTCTCTCTCCCCCTCACCTCCCCACATCAAATCCACTCCATTTGAACTCATTTTTCGCAGGATTTTTTGTGGAAATTGAAGAGAAAGGTAGACTCCTCCATTCCCCCCTCTTTTTTTTCGTTTTTATTGGTTGAATTTGTAGATCGAAGGGTAACCCTAGAACCCCTTTTATGCCCAAATTTGTGATTTTTAGCATTTGTTCTTG